ACAGCTGGCGGCTGCAACCGTCTCAGACTAGTGGTGGCATGCCAATCTGAATTTTTCAAGAGTCCAGAGGGCAGCCGTTTAATTGTTCCATGCGGCAGTGTTTCTCAACTGGTTCTAGTTTGCAGATCAAGACACTTTTTCTTATTCTGGGCCATGTTTGTTTTCTCCAAACAAACAAAAGTATATCCTAATGTTTCTACAACATGCTATCCAGGTCTCCCGCCTGAATACTCTGACCACTCAATTGGAACCTTTTCTGCCACTGAATTAATATTTTTACAAGGATAAGAATAAGAATCACCCAAAGAGCCAAGAGTCCAGTAGCACCTTAAGGACTAACAAAATTTGTGGCAGCGTATGAGCTTTCATGAGTCACCGCTCACTAGAACAGACTCACAAAAGCTCATACCCTGCCACAAATTTGTTCGTCTTCAAGGTGTTGGAGAAGACTCTTGAGAGTCCCGTGGACTGCAAGGAGATCAAATCAGTCAATCCTAAAAGAAATCAACCCTGACTGTTCCCCGGAAGGCCAGATACTGAAGCTGAAGCTCAAATACGTTGGCCACCAAATGAGAAGGGAGCACTCACTGGAGAAGACCCTGATGCTGGGAAAGATTGAAGGTCAAAGAAGACGGGGACGGCAAAGGATGACATGGTTACACAGTGTTATCGAGGCAACAGACATGAAATTAAGCAAACTCCGGAGCACGATGGAAGACAGGAGGGCCTGGCGTGATATGGTCCTTGGGGTCGTGAAGAGTCGTGAAGGGTCGGACTTGACTGTGCGACTGAACAACAACAACAACAACAAAGGTGCTGTTGGAGTCTTGCTCTTTTCTACTTATCTGAAGAAGTGAGCAGTGACTCTTAAAAGCTTGTACCCTGCCACAAATTGTGTTAGTCTTTAAGGTGCTACTGGACTCTTGCTCTTTTCTACTGCTACAGTCTAACACGGCTACCCATCTTGATCTAACTTTTGAGATTATCTCAACGTGTTTCCTAACTTATCTGTGGGGAAGCAGCTGGGAGAATGGTGCAAGTCAGTTCACACTGTGGATTTTATGGTACCTTCTGCATAGATTTATGGCCGTTTTATGGCCATTCAGGGGTGACTTTGCAGTCTGTTAAGTTGGCCCTGGGTATTTGAATGTGGTTTTGAGTGTTCCTCAGTGTTGAGAAAATGTGGAGCGAATGCCAAATGCAGAACCAGCCAAAGTTGTTTTGGTGGCCCTGAGAAGTTTGTATCATGAATAGGCCGGTTCCAGGGGTAATTTCCTGCAGAAGCACACAGGAGCAGAGCTCCAGCAGTAGAGACCAGGGGGCGGGCACATGCAACAAGCCCCACCCCTTGCTCCCAGCAGCCCTCAGTCAGAGCAAGAAGCAGCCAGGTAAGTTGCAGAGTCCCCCCCGGCCCCCCACTCCAAAACAGTCCAGTGGCACCTTTAAGACCAAGCTTTATTCAGGTACAAGCTCTCCCTCCTCTGTGAGGACAGATTTGCACGCCCCCCCCCCATAGCTAGCAATCCAAAACAGCCCAGTGGAGCCTGAGCGGTGGGTGTTGCCTTCTGACACACTTCCGGTGATGTCAGGCAGGGGGTGGGGCATATGCAAATAAGTTATGCTAATGAGTTATGCTAATGAGCTCTCGCACCTCTTTTTCTACGAGATGACCCCTGGCTGGTTCACATGGTACAACATTCTCAGGGGGCCAACAAGTAGGGTTGGTGATTTCCAGGTGGGGCCTGGAGTTCTCCCGGAATTATAACTGATCTCCAGGCGACAGAGATCATTTCCCCTGGAGGGAAAGGCTGTTTTCCAGGGTGGACTCTATGGCAGGATATCCCACTGAGGTCTCTCCCCTCCCCAGACTCCAGCCCCGAATCTCCAGGAATTTCCAACCAGAGCTGGCAACCTTAGGTAGCAGTGTGGGTGTGACCCCCATTGTCACATTGCCTCTTTTACTTTACAAGACTAAATGGGAGCCCTTTATTTTGGGTGGTAGAAAAACCTGCTCCTGGCTCCTAGTGACCTCCCTGTCGTGGGCAGCTCCCTTCCCTCGGGGCCCCAAACGGCAGACTGGACAGATATGTTTTGTTTATTTATTTAAAACAGTTTTATGCCCTCTTTCCACCCGATCAGGGTCCCCAAGGCAGCAAACATGACAAAATTTGAACAATTAAAAACAAAATTTGAAATTATAGAATGATTCCATCAAAATACATAAACAGACAGCACCAGAGCCAGAGAGAAGGGCCAGTATCTATGCAGTGGCTCCAGATCCAGATCTCCTAAGGCGTCTTCCGCATTGTCATTTCTGTCACTCCTTTGTCCCCGTTGCTTTGCCCCCCCCCAGGGGTCGTTTCATGGAAAAAGAGCTAGGGGAACTCATTAGCATAACTCATTAACATATGCCACACCCCCTGACATCAGGGGCCGGCGGTGGACCTGCAAGGCCGGCGGGAGTGCGAGGAAGCCCCACCAAGGCCCTCCCTGGCCCCAGGCAGGCAGGGGTGGGGAGAGGCGGGGAGGAAGCAACTTACCCTCCCTCTTCTCCTGCCTCCTCCTGGCTGAATGAGGGCTGGAAGCGAGGCGGCCGGAAGCAGGGGGCGGGGCTTCATCGTGTGCCCCGCCCCCGCACCTCACCCGGGGGAACTGCGATCCCCCGCCATCCCCCCGAAATGACCTCTGCCCCCCCTTTTCCACATGTGTTTTGTTCCTTCTGGGACTACTAGAGAGAGCAAAACATATGGGGAGGAGGAAACCCTGAAGCAGTAGGGTCAAAGGAGAAATAAAAATTGGCAGTGTGGAGAGTTATATTAAAGTGTGTTGGAATAGCCATGCTATCTCATAAATGTTTATTCAGAAGTCAAGTCCCATGGAGTTCATTGGGACTTACTCGTAAATCTGAAAAAAGAGCACTATCGGAAGGGAATGGGTTTTATTCCCAAATGAGAGCCAGTGTGGGGTAGCAGTTAAAGCGTTGGACTAGGATCTGGGAGGTCCAGGTTCGAATCCCCACTCATGCCATGGAAACTTGTTGGGTGACCTTGGGCCAGTCACACACTCTCAGCTAAGGTTGCCAGCTCTGGGGTGGGAAATACCTGGAGATTTTTTTGGGGGTGGAGCCTGAGAAGGGCGGGGTTTATACAGGGGAGGGACTTCCGTGGGGTATAATTGCCAGAGTCCACCTCCAAAGAGGGCACTTTCTCCAGGGGAACTGATCTCTGTTGCCCGGAGATCAGTTGTCACTTGTAATCCCAGGAGATCTCCATCCACCACCTGGTCCTAGAGGTTGGCAACCCTACTCTCAGTCCAGTGTACCTCACAGGGTTGTTGTGATGATAAAATTTATTATTAATTAGATTTCAGTTCCGCCCTTTCCCGAAGGCTCAGGAAGGAGCGGAGAATGATATAAGCCACTTTGTGGGGTGGGGAGAGATGCGTGTTATAAATAAATGAGAATAAAATAATAAAAATTTATTCCCAAGTACAGTGGACTGTACCCGTGATACTAGAATTTTATTCCCCTGTAAATCTGTATAGGATTGCAGCTCTAGCGTTACCAGGTCCCCTCGGCCATCGACAGCAGGGGGGGGGGGTTGGAACGGTTGCCAGTTTGGGAAACTCCTGGAGATTTGGGGATGGAGCCTGGGGAGGTCAGGGACCATCCTCCAAAGCATCCATTTTCTCCAGGGGGAACTGATCTCTGTCATCTGGACTCTGGAGATGATGTGTACTTCCGGGGGATTTCCCAAGTCCCCACTTGGAGGCTGGCATCCCTACTTGTGCCAGAGGATGTAGTGATGGCCACAGGAATAAACAGTGTTAAGAGGGGGATTCGATAGATTCCTGGAGGAGAAGTCCATGAATGGCCCCTAGCCATGGTGACTGAGGGGAACCTCCACATTCAGAGGCACTAAGCCTCTGAATCCTAAAGCCAGGAGCCAACACCAGGGGAAGGCCTCCGTCTCTATGCCCTACTGTTTGCCCTCCAGAGGAAGTGTGGTTGGCCGCTCTGTTGAGACAGGATGCTGGACTAGATGGACAACTGGTTTGATCCTGTGAAGGCCTCGGCCTCTGTGCCCTGTTGTTGGCCCTCCAGAGGAAGTGTGGTTGGCCGCTCTGTTGAGACAGGATGCTGGACTAGATGGACAACTGGTTTGATTCTGTGAAGGCCTCGGCCTCTGTGCCCTGCTGTTGGCCCTCCAGAGGAACTGGTTGGCCACTGTGAGAGAGGGGATGCTGGATTAGATGGACCCCTGGTCTGATCCAGCAGGGCTTTCTTATGTCCTTATGAAAGCCTCAGCCTCCATGCCTTATGTTCGCCCTCCAGGGGAACTGCTTGGCCACTGTGCGAAACAAGATGCTGGACTAGCTGGACCACTGGTCTGACCCAGCAGGACTTCTCTTATGTTCTTATTGTCAGCCAGCCAGTAAGAAACGGGGCAGCCTTGTTGCCGTTCATCCTAATGTCAACAGGGATGGGGGAGAGAGAGTGTGTATGTGTGTGTGTGGGGGGGTTTCGGTGCTGCGGCTGTTTCTCACGTCGCTCCGGCCTCGCTGCGCGAAGGGGTTAAACCCTGGGACAGGGGCGGCCACAACAATGGCCCGCGGCAGAGCAGGGATAATCCCGGCGGCCGCTCCTCCCCTCGCTCCCTCCCTCCGGGGGCTGCCAGGGAAAAGCTGTGCGCCACTCGCCCAGTGGGCCGCCGGGGAGCCAGCCGCTCGGTGGGAGCCGCGGCGCAGGTTGATGTCTCATCAGTTGATTAGGCAGCCCTGCCTGGTGCGCCTCTCCCGGTCTCGGCGGCGGCGGCGGCCGCAGCGAAACTTTCTGCTTCTTGCTCCCCTCTGCAAAGCCCTCTTTGCACTTTGCTCCTCGGCCATGACTCCTCCGAGGACGCGCTAGCGGCCCCGGATCTCATTCATTCCTCCCCCCGCATCCCAGTTCCCTCTGGCTTTGCAATTTCAATCCTTTTTTTATTATTATTTTGCAAAAATCAAGCATCCGTGAAAATGGCGAGGGACAGGAGCACGGGCGGGATCCGAGGGGCGCCGGCGATGCCTTTCGCGCTGTGGCTGCTGCTGCTGCTGGGGGCGGCGGCTCCCCGCGGCTGGGGGCAGCCGGTCTCCTTCCACGCCGATGTGAACGGCTACAGCTTGCACCCGCCCTACTTCAACCTGGCCGAGGGCACCAGGATCTCAGCCACCGCAACCTGCGGCGAGGAGGACGCCGGCGCCAAGATCCCCAGATCCGTGGAGGATTTGTATTGCAAACTCGTGGGCGGGCCCGTGGCCGGCGGCGACCCCAACCAGACCATACAGGTACTTATTTATTTCTCCCCTCTCCTTCGAGTTTAGGGTTTTGCACGGTGCCCTCCTCTTGCACGAGTAGCAGAAAACATGCGCTTCTTTGCGCCATCCCATCTCTTAGGCCGGTGCGAGGTCTTCAAAGGGGGAGGGGAAACTTTAATTTAGAATGATTACCACCCCCACCCCCCGCATCGGAGACCAGATCTTTAACTCCCCGTCCCACCGGTGCGGGCATCTTATTAAACGTTTACGAGTTCGCAAAAGCTAAACCGGTTAGTCTTCGAAGTGTGCAAGACTTTTGTTTTGCTTTCGGTGCCACAGAGTAAGAGAGCTCCCGCACTGAAATAGTAGAAAAGAAAGGAAGAGTCCGGTAGCACCTTAAAGACTAACGAAATTTGTGGCAGTCTATGAGCCTCCGTGAGTCACTGCTCACTTCTTCAGATACACTCGTGAAATACAACCGCGTGAGCAAGAAGCACTTGTCGCATCTTTCTCTGTCCCCTTCCCCCCCACCCCTGCCCCGAGTTTGTTTGTCTGGTGAATTGATTCTGAACTAATGGGACAGGCGCACAAAAAACCCTGGGGAAAGTTGTTCAGCAGTATGTGTTGTGCGCATGTTTGCACTCGGAGGGGCATGTTTGCTTTGTGCTTCATAAAGTGCGCTTTTGAGCCGGGTAGGGTAGGGTGGGGTGGGGTGGGGGGCATTGAATGGAGAGTACCTTTGTAGTAACTCTCACTGAATCCTGTTTTATGGGAGGGTGTGTGCGTGTGTACATTTACTCTTCTTCTGTGCACATGGTGATCACAGACAGCACACTGGCTAAGTGGTGACTTCCCACCGCCTGCATATCTATCGCCACTTGGTAAGTTACCTGCCTTGGCCAGCCAAGTGATGTGGCCGCTCGTGGCTAGATCAGAAATCCAGGAAACAGCGAGAGGTGGGTGGAAAGATGATCTTCACCACCAAACCAGGTCTGTACAGATGTCCAGTTTACCAAGCGGTTTCAAGTTACCGTGGGTCAATTGCTCTGCAGCTCACAGGGTGAAGTATCAGAGTTCTGCATTCCCCTGTACACATCTGACAACAGCATGTGCTCATGGTACCCTGCCCCCCTGCTTTGAAAATAAAGCACGTAGTTTCATTTGCTTGTTTCCAGGAGTTGTCAACCTCCAGGTGGGGCCTGGAGAACCCCCAAAATTACAACTGGTTTCCAGACTGCAGCAATCAGTTCCCCTGGAGGAAATGGCTGGGCTCTAGAGCATTATATCATCTGAGGTCCCTCCCGTCCCCAAACCCTGCCCTCCCCAGGTGCCACCATGAAATCGCCAGGAATTTCTCAGTCATGAGATGGTGACCCTATTCATTTGCAGCAGGTACTTATCCTGCTTGCAAAGTCACCCCTGAACGGCCATAAATCTATGCAGAAGGTACCCTAAAATCCGATGATCAAAGAAAGCGACATGCAATGCAGAGGGGGGAATTTCTGTTCCAAAGTGGGTTTCGTAAAACAACGGAGGGAAAAGCCAATGCAGACTCAGCCTTTCTCACTGAAAAAGTGCTTAAGTTTGGACTGGGCTGGAAAAAAATGGGCTGATGTGTTTCATACTGCAAGCTCATACATTAATAATAATAATAATAATAATAATAATAATACTGCAAGCTCATACATTAATAATAATAATAATAATAATAATAATAATAATAATAATAAATAAAAATAAAAATTGTTCTTTGTGGTTAAAACGCATTGCATGAAGTATCTCCTTAGAACAGCTGCAGAAGCTGTTGTCACACCCTGTATTCCAGGCAGGGATGCTAAGCCATTGAGACTTTCTTGAGGCCACCCAGTGAGTTCACGGCAGAGGTGAGATTTATTTGAACCAGGGATATCTTGCTCCACACCTCACTTCCTTAACAACTGAAGTCCTCCACTCACACAGCTGTTCTGAGAACAGCTCAGTTATTGTGTGTGTATGGGGGTGTGGGATGACCCAGTTTTTCAGAGTGGCAGTTCCCATTAGCAGGTTTCCAAGCAGTTTTTCCTTTCCTACCTTCTCAGGAATGGGAAGTTTAAAGGGTGTGTTTCCTGAAGATTTCTAAACAGGGAAGATTATGTAGAAGATAACAGATGAACAGGAGATGACTTGTCATCAAATGATGCGGGCTGTCAAGAGACATCTTGGAACTGTTTTTAAAGACAGGCGGGTTTTTTTTCCCTCTGGGAAGGGGAGAAGAACTCAGCAGAGTACAGTGTTTTTACCTGTACCATGCTTTTGTCACATGCGTCACATACTTGGCTTCAAGAGCTATTGCAAACAGTCTAGAGTGTGCATTTATACTTTATAGACAAAAGCATCGGAGCCCTCTAGGTTCCTGCACCATTATTTTGTAGGTCATTACATTGTGTGTGTGGCAGCCATAACGTCCCAGGCTGGCCTAGTCTTGTCAGATCTCTGAAGCTAAGCAGAACCGGCCATGGTTAGTATTTGGATGGGAGACCCCCCCCAAGGAAGTCAGCCAAGGGCTGAATAGGAAACCACCTCTGCTCACCTCTTGCCTTGAAAACCCCATAAGGTGGAATTTCGTGGGGTCGCTGTGAGTTGGTTGGAACTCCACAGCACTTTACCTTACCTAAAGAGGGCCAGTTTGGTGCAGTGGTTAAGTGCGCGGACTCTAATCTGGGAGAACCGGGTTTGAATCCCCACTCCTCCACTGATGATGTGACCTTGGGTCAGTCACAAGCTCTGGCACAGCTGTCCTTGAAAAAGAGCCATTTGTGTCAGAGTTCTCTCAGCCCCACCTACCTCACAGGGTGTCTGTTGTGGGGAGGGGAAGGGAAAGGAGTTTGTAGGCCCCTCTGAAACTCCAAGTGAATCCAATCTCCTCCTCTTCCTCTTCTTCCTCTTCTTCTTCTTCGTGTCTGTGCAAAATCAAGGTAGTCTAAAAAGACACTCTTGAGAATTTTCTAAAGCAGCTCACTTAGTACACTGGGCTGCAAACTCATTTTGCCTCCTGTGAAGAAGAAGAAGAGACTGGATTTATACCCTGCTCTTCACTACCTGAAGGAGTCTCAAAGCGGCTGAGAAGAAGAGAAGAAGAGATTGGATTTATACCCCGCCCTTCACTACCCAAAGGTGTCTCAGAGCGGCTTACAAACTCTTTTCCCTCCCCCTCCCCATAACAGACACCCTGTGAGGTAGGTGGGGCTGAGAGAGCTCTCTTGAGAACTGCTCTTGAGAGAACAACTCTGAAATAGCTTGTGATTGACCCAAGGTCATACCAGCAGCTGCATGTGGAGAAGTAGGGGATCAAACCTGGCTCTCCCAGATTAGCGTCCACGCTCGTAACCACTACACCAAACTGGCTGCGTGAGAGCTGGGTGGCTTGTTCAGCAGCCCCAGTGAATGACGTTTAAGGGAAGTAGGGATCCGTTTTGTTTGTTAGAAGCAGCTGGGCATAAAGGTAGAGTTCTGTATGAGAGTTTTCACCTCTCTTGAGACTTCTCCAAACGGGAATCAAAGGAAATGCACTGAAAGAGTCTCTAAAATAAAGGAGGTGCCCGCTTTCTTTGCTTTGATAGCAGAAAGCTAGCTGTGTTCATTGCGCAGCTGGTGCTGTTACTGGGCTGATTCCATTTGGTGGTGTAGAGACTGCCATGCATTCTCAACCCGCAAAGTTTGAAGATGCCTTCAGTACACTTCCAAGTCCTAGTTTGGAGAGACATTTGAACAGAGCTGGAGGCATAATTGCCCCTAATACACTGCGTTTATGCACACTAGTGTCTCTTGTCTCTGGTTTATAATAATATAATAATAATAATACTTTCCATTTATTAATCGCTTTCCCCAGTGGGCTCAAAGCGATGTACAGTTACTCAATATAGACAAGGGACTAACAATGTTTGTAGGGGATAGGGAAGACAACATATATTCATCTTTAATTGCACGCGCCGTCACTGCCCGGTGTAGACGTCTTCTGGCTTGGCTCCGTTGTTTTCCGCACGGCTGCTTGCTGGCCAGGCTTCAGGACCCGTATGTCAATCGCCACACTGTCATCGCCTGGCCGGAACATCCACTGCAGGGATTCTTTCATAGCTGAGAAGCTATTCCACCCTCCAAGCCTTGACCAGGATGTCCGACCGTCAGCTAACATCCTCCCACAAGGGAGATTGGCGTGTCCACCCTCTCTAATGAGTGGTTCCCATTTTATCTACTTGCTGAAGCTTTCGAATCGCTGGGTGGACGATGAGCTGGGGACAACAGGCTGGCTGCTCACACCAGCGCGGGGCTCGAATTGACACAGTTCGGATGTTAAGACAGTGGGATATACCCACTGTGCCACCGCTCCCCTTTAAATAGGTTTGGCGGGTTTTGGAAGTGTGACAAAAACCTGCAAAGCTATAAACAGCCGAGCATGTGCTGCTTGGACAACGATGCCCAAGCTGAAGGCATTGTTACTCCTAATGTACTGTATTTGCCCATCCCAGTGTATCTCTCGTCTCTGGGTAAACAGGTTTGAAAAGTTTTGGAAGTGCTACGAAAACCTGCAGAGCCTGTAAACAGAGCCGAGCATGGGTTGCTTGGACAATGATGCCCAAAATGAAGGCATCATTACTTCTATTTGACCACCCCAGTGTCTCTTGCCTCTGGATAAACAGTTCTGGCAGGTTTGGGAAGCACTACAAAAACCGGCAAAGCTGTAAGCAGAGCCAAGCATGCACTGTGTGAGCAATGATGCCGGACTTATTCTTGTGTTCATCTCTTCGGAAAAAAATAATGATCTCCCTCTAGCCCTAAGCAAAGTGCAATGAATTTTGGGAATATAGGTGTGAAGAGAAATCCTCAGGCTCTTTAAAGGAATGTGGGTGGGAGAGAAGGGTGTGTTAAGGATAAACAATTATTACAGGCTTATGTCAAAGTAAACGTCTGCCGAGACCTGACTGAAAGGCCACATGCACCCGGGGCTAAGAATTTCCTAGGAATGCAGATGGCAAAAGCGTACTGCTGATCGG